TTTCATTTGACCCTTATTTTGTGATCTCAGCCTTTATTTTGGAGACAGAATATATAGAATAGTCATTAGGAACATTAAATATAATCGTATATGGTACACTCAGAATTATTGTTTCTGTTCTGTTCCTGCTTAGGGATTTTATGTCCAGTATCCTATTGGATAACTCCTCCAATCCCTTCATTTAATATGAAATTTCACTGTAAATCAAGTGTATCATTTTTATATTTAAAACATTTGAAAATTTCTCCATCTCTTAACTGCATGCCTTTCTTTGCAGTAAAGAGATTGTGTTTCTCTGTTTTTTTAAGATACTGCTATGAGGATACTTGTTAGCAATGACTGATGTGGAATCTACATATGCAGATTTCATTGCTTCAGGAAGAACTGGAAGAAGAAATGCTCTTCATGATATACTTGTGTCTTCAACAAGTGGGAATTCTAGTGAACTATCCCTGAAATTATCTGAACTTGATATAAATAAAACTGGTAAGTATCCATATTTTAGCAAAAGAAAACTGCAAGAGGAATCATTCTTGAAAACAGTGTATTAGGTTTTGATATCTATGCATTGTTAAAATTATACTTGACATACACTTACACATGCACATATTCATACACACAGTATATATTGTTCAAGTATAATTTGAATGTGTGTGTGTGTGTTGTATGCATATACATATTTCATAGCTTAGAAATGATAAAACATTTGGTGTACCTATGATCCATCAGCTAAATCCTCAGGAGCCCCTTTCTATAGTCATAGAGGTAGAGGAAGGGTAAACTATTCACAAGGGTTTGTTAAGCCTATTACATTAGTGGTAAGTTTTGGCTGATATGATGGGTCACAAGCTATTTAGGCCAAAATTAGAATAAATATGATTACTACTGAATTTTTAAAATATGCATTTCCAGGAGATGGCAATGTTTTCCAGCTGTTATGAGAACACCTGAGTCCATATTTCCAGAACAGGGAAGTAAATATCTCATACAGAGTAGGTAGTGTTCATGGCCATGTAGAGATCATAAGCCAATTTACTTATAAACTAAGTAGGGTCAAGAGGCAATGATTCTAAGCCAATGTTAATTCAGGGCACAGTTTAATAGCTGTGATAGTTAAAATTATTTCTACATAGAATTCTGCTAACTACTTGTAGATACATCTT